GTATTTTGTTTATTCTTTCTTACTGGGACAGAACACCCAAAAATCATATAATAAAAGTGGATATATCCAAAGACCGCCATGGTCATCATTCTCTTTCATTACAGTGTGAACATCACCTTTTGTGTTCCAAGTAATAAGTATCTGGAACAAAATGAGAGTAAGTAAATGATTATTTTTGGGTTTACATAGTCTCGAACCTTTAGTCTGGTTTCTTGTTTTCAAATATTTATTTGAAGTTGTTGGTTTGGTCTTTTTCAGAAATGTGGAGAGAAAAAAATAAATAAATAAATAAATAAAAAAATATATATATACATACATACAGTATATGTATGTAATTGTTTCTTTATTTATTTATGCATTCATTTATTTATATATTATAATATTATAATCAGGGTTGTTTCTTCATCTTAATATTATATTATAATATTATAATATCCGGAAACTTTCCAGCGTTTTTGGAAACTTTCGTGAAATATTTGGAATTTTTTTGGAAAGTTTTCAGAAATTTACCGGAAATTTTCATAAAAGTTTCTGCCCCTTTGCTACCCTAATTATAAAACAGTATTAGTATAGTTTAGTATATTTTTTATTTATGCTATATTTTCTTATAAAAAATTATAAACATATCTTGGAAACCTTAGTCAGTGCAAAAGTGGATATTAACTCTTCAAATCCTGCAACCATTTTCTTTCAATTATGTTGCTCAAATGCAGACTCAAAGATGAGTAAAGCCAGAGTGAAATAAGTTTTAGTCTTGCTATCAGCCTTCAATGACCTTCTTCCCCCTGTCGTGTGGGATCCTGGGGAAATGTCATGTCAAACTTCCTCTCGCCAGCTCAGATTGATATAAACGTGCGCTGCCTCTGACCTCCAGTGCTCTGTGCTCTCCATGCAGCTAAAACCAGCACGCTCTGCCCTTTGTTTAGACATTTTGAACAACTCGATTCGCTGGAAAAATGATTCATTTGCAGGCTCTGTGCCACAACTTCACAGACAGGCTTTTGTTTTAAGAAGTTGTTAGTTCTCTGGATACACTTTTAAAAGGTGGAGGTAAATGGCACATAAAAAATGTATGGTCTATAATGACCCAATAACCATTTGCGTTTTGCTCCAGAAGTACACCAGCTGGTTATGTTGCTTTTACTTGACGCATTAGAGAGAGCTCTCATCTGTCAGGTATGCACACTGAAACCAGGCGATTTGGATGCTGGGAAGGGCATTTAGGTACTTGTGGAGCACAGACAGCATTTCCCTGAAGTAATGAGCTTTATAATGAAAGTAATCGTTTTTTCTGCTCCTCGTCCTGGAAAAGGATACAGTTGAGAATTGTTTTAATGTTCACTTGTATTTGAGTCTCATTTCAGTCAGATAATACTGATGGAAATACTGTGGTTAACTCTTTTAAAGTGATAGTTCACCCATAAAGGGGTCATAGGATGCCAATTTTCCACAAGTTGATATGATTCTTTAGGGTCTTAATGAAAAGTCTGTAACATAGTTTGGTTAAAATTTCTCAATGGTAGAGTAAAAAACACCTTTTTTACCCTATCAAAAACAGCTCTTTTCAGATCAAGCCGTTTTTGTAGCGTTTTCCTTTAAATGTTAATGAGCTCTGCTGACCCCGCCCCTCTCTTCCGAGCTGCTCTCAGAGAGACTGTTTACTTTAGCTGCATTCATCGTGAAATTTGCTAATTAGCACATTATTAGGAAAGGCGATTTGCAAAGATTCATTACAAAACATTATACTCGCTGCTTCTGTAGATGAGGCTGGATCATGAATGATTCGCGTGAACATAGACGCATTTATGTAGATCGGGGGCGCATTCCCTTCAGAAACAAAAGTAATCCACTGCGAGTTCAGCGGCTCAAATGTCGGGAGTAAATGACGACTGCTATGTTCATTATTACATCCAACAACAGAACACCTCAATCGCTTAGGAGTCATTCTTCTCTACATCTGCTCCGGCGGTGAAAAAATGGCAGACTGATGACAGCTCAGTCAGGGCGGGTCTAAGGTAAGACACCAGTCCAGTCTGTGCTGAAACGCTACTGTCAATCAAACTATTGTGGGAGGGGGCCTGTTTGTGACGTCACACAGACAGGCATCTGAGATCGGCTGGATTTGAGAAAGGGGAAAACATTTAACGAGATTTAAAAAAAAACACTGGGTGGATTTTTATCATTATAGGATGGTTGTGTACACACGCTACCAACACATATTTCAGTTCAAACAACTTGTAAAAGTGCATGTAGCATCCTATGACCCCTTTAAGTTGTTCCAAACCTGTATGAGTTTGTCTTCTGTTGAATACAGAAGTTATTTAGAATAATGTTCTTAACCTGTGAACATTAAAAAAAACTGTGGTATAACGACTTTTGTCATTTTTGTTTTTTTTATTATATATTTATATTTAGCCTTATTTTACTTCAGTTTTAGTCATTTTAGTACTTTAACTTAAAAAAAAAAAATTAGTTTTTCAAATATATTCTGTTTTATTTCAGCTTTATTTAAATTACCAAAAATAATTTTTAATAGTTTTAGTTTCAGTTAACAACACTGGTAACAACAGCTTTTCATTGCCATGTCGTCCATTTTCAATGAATCACCTCTATTTAAACGGCATGACGCTAGAATGTTGGAGTTTTTCAGGATAATCTTGTTTACAAAATATGTGACATGGCCTCATTGGTGCTCATTTCCATCTGAAACAACCAAAGCATCAGTTAGTTGTTTTTCCTAAGGCAAGCATCAAGTATTGCTCACACTTCAGCATTAGAGGTTTGTTCAAATCCCGTACCTTAAAGTAATTAAGCTTTGTTGTGTAACTAGTCACTCACTATTTGCTATGGCTACAGTCATGATTAACACTAAATCATGCTGCTTATTGTTGAGAGGTGTGCTGTTTCACTTGTCTGACAATTAAAACGGGCAAAAAAAATCTTGAAAAATCGAATGAGTTCATTTATGATGCCTTAAAGGAACGCTCCACTATTTTTGAAAATGGGCTCATTTTCCAACTCCCCTAGAGTTAAACAGTTGAGTTTTACCGTTTTCGAATCCATTCAGCCGATCAGTGCAGCAGGTGCAATGATATTACGCAGCGCCTGAAAATAGGCTTATTGGAAGTTACTTAGCTGGGGCCTATATTCAGGCGCTGCATAATATCATTGCGCCTGCTGCACCCATGGTACGGCAGCAAAGTTCCTTGATTATTACGCCGGAATGAGAGTATAGTTCCTAGCCATATCGGCCTAGAAAATTGCAACTTTTCATTTTCCGTCAGTCTTAGTACACGATGTAACTACAGAAGAGTCAAGTTTTAAATAGGAAAAATATCGAAACTCCTTGGTCATTTTTGAGCGAGATGCTAACGGTCTAATCAGATTCAATGATCTATGCTAAGCTACAGCTAAAAGTGCTACCGCCAGACCCGGAGATCGGCTGAATGGATTCGAAAATGGTAAAACTCAACTGTTTAACTCTAGGGGAGTTGGAAAATGAGCCTATTTTCAAAAATAGTGGCGTGTTCCTTTAATATGTTTATAGATTAGATATGCACGATTAATTGAAATATAACCGAAATCATGATATGGTTTAGTGCGATTATCAAAGGCTGTGATTGAATTAAATAAATATATGCACTGTGTGTTTCAGAGTCTAGAATGACAAGCGCTTATCAACAACAAGAAAAAGTAATAATAGTATAATAATAATTATTATTATTTTATAACCATATTGATACGTAACAACAAAATTTTGGTCAGATTGTGCAACCCAACAAACAAGCAAACCTGGATTTTTTTTAAAGTTGCATTTTAGATCTGTTTTTATTAGAAATGCAATTGCAATAATTTTTTTCCCCCAAATCATGCAGCTCTATTGTATTAATATATGGATTTTATACAGATGAACTCTGGTGATGGCTCTGGTGTATTGTAAAGGGGTTGGTGCATTTTGCCTGTTCCTATTCTGCCTCTAGGCAAGCAAACATGGCCTGTCGTCTCGATTCTGCCACGTCCACTGCAGGAGAGACCCACTTTCCCTGACAGACCTCTCTGGAGACTCGCAGTTTATTTATTAATTTCTGCTTTTTTTCCTGCAACTGTAAAACCACCTTTCTCTGTTCCTTTCTTACAATCTGAAACTTCCAGTCTAGATCAAAACCATGCATGAAAGGACTTAATTATAGTAAATATATTTGGTGTAATGAAATGTGTTTATGCGGTTTAAAGTTAAAAAAACACATTATTTTCCACATACTGTACATTATTGTTTCTCCTCTATGCCCCGCCTTTTTGAAACGCGTCGATT